AAAGGATTTTGCGCTGTTTCCAACAGCAAGAGGCTGCATGAGGGAGGCAGTTTGGTGACTTCAAAAACTGTAATTTAAGATATATTTCAATGATCTGGAAAACAGATATTTAAAATTAGGACTTTAACAGAAGATCTAGAATGGTGTCCACCATGCTCTTCAATGACTCATACTGTGCTAGACTTATGAAGGATTCAAAAGTATAAGGCATGTGATGTCTCTGATCTTAAGGAGTTTACAGTATTTTGGGGAAGATAGGACTTTCATTAAAAAATAATTATAGGGATTTTAATAAACAACAATATAGAAAATAAAATCCTACAATAATTTTCACCAACAGAAAGTACCAATGCTTTATATATATATTATTTCAGATCCTCACCAACCATTTGAAAGGGGATTATCATTTCCATTCTGGAGATGAGAAAATGAAGTTCAGAGAAGTTGAGTGATGTGTCCAAGGTCACACAGCTGGTAATCTGGAGGAGCAATTTGAACCCAGGTTCTGTCAGGCTCCAGAGCCTGTACCCTTTCCATTCTGGTGCTGATCCATCCTTTCTTCTTCCGTACCACAGCAGATCTTGCAAAGTGGTGGTAAAATTATTATTGTTTCTAATTCAAAGCACATGTGCAAAGAACCAAGAATGATGGGATTATAAAGTTTTTCCCTTTTTCAAAATTGTCTTTAAATCTGTTACAATATTTTACACACAAAAGAAGGAAACAGGTGACACTAAAGATAGAATATGTTACACCTGAACCACCCACTACTTTGTTGGCTCTAATTTTATTAAATTGTTTCTTTTCTCTTGCAGGCAATTACATGCAACTAGCAAGATGAATAAAAATAAACTGATTCATGATTTCCTGGAAGTAGTTTCAAGAGGTGATGTGGAACTCATCTGTGACCATATTACCAAAGTCCATTCCATCCTTGGAAACCTTGACTTTCAGCATCCAATGACTGGAAATACACCTCTCATTACTGCAGCAGAAGAAAATCTAGCAGAGGTAACATGTGATGTCCTGGGCCCATGGATAGTCTTCTAAGCTAAGGAGTCCCAAGAAAGAGATGCTTTAGAATAGCATAATCATTGGCCAGAGCTATGAGAACAGCCTTGAGTTCTACCCATTGGGTGGAACACCCTGTTCATGATCAGTTCTGCTTAGCTGCCACTGAGGTCAACCTGCTGTTATAGTCTAGTGCACGCCATCAAGGTTCAGCTTGACTGAACCATCAGTGCAACAAGCTCAGGCACTCAGGGGAGTCCCTGTGATGTGAAGTCTCCCTGAGCCAGCAGTTTTGCTTCAGGCAGTGGAGTGGGGGATAAAATTTCCTGCAGAGAGAAAGATACCACTTTTTCATGGGAAACGAAGATGTCAGTGCAGCCAGGCTGGCTGCATTCCTAAATATACCATTTCCATTTGACAAACAAGTCTTGTTGGACCTTTCCCACTTTGTTAGTCATTGTATCTGAGTTGACTTACCCCCAAATGGGAATATTGGGTCCGTGGGTCACAAGGTCTCCATGAATTAGGTGTTCAGTTTTGACAAGAGCCACTAGTGAGTTGGGGAGAGTATAGCTCAGTGGTGGAGTGTATGCTTGGCATGCACGAGGTCCTGGGTTCAATCCCCAGTGACTCTATTAAAAAAATAAATAAATAAACCTAATTACCTCCCCCTAACGAACCAAAAAGAAAAAAAAGAAAAAGAAAAGAGCCCACTAGTGAGCTAATCTCCAGTTTTCAAAAAAAAAAGTGATATACTTAGTAGACATGTCAGGGAGGCAAGAAGTCCAAATCCCCAACAGAAGCCTTTAGGTAGAGACTGTCTCATTTTGCCAGAGGCTTCCCGAATTATCAGTCATAGAGACCCTAAAGGGTCAGACTCCAAAGATAATAGTACTTCTCTACCTACTAACTCATCATAATCAGAAGAATCCTCCCTGACACTTAGTGGGATTGGGAAGTATGTGCAGATAATACATTAATTCCTCTTGCACATTTAGAGATAGAAGCCACAACAATAATAGTGCATTGAATTGGCCCAAAGGGCCAAGCACATTAGCTTTCCCTTCCCACTGTGAATCTAACCCAAATTCCAATAGCTGAATTCAGATGATTCACCTCCCTCAAGGGACTGGGCAGGATGGTGACTTGGGAATCTGAATCCAAGTGAACCATAAAAGTTTGAGTCTCACCCTTCCCCAAAGCTTACCAACATGCTTGTGTGGGTGGCTACAAACTTCAGTACCCTTTGAAGATAGGGCAGCTGGGGTTAAAGTACAGGGGATGGGAGGGTAAGAATATGGTAAAAGAGAGAGGCTCCATTCACATCTCCCCAGTTTCATTTATGGATTCTTTCTTCTCATCCATTAAATATTGGTGTTCCTCAACCATCTGGAGATGGCTCGTAATTCTGTAACTCAGCCCACATTACTGACTGAATTCTTATATATACAGAATGTTGAGCTTCCAACCTGTATCTCCACTTACATCTCAAACACAGCATGTCCAAACTGTCTTCATTTTTTCTTCCCAAATCTAATCCTTCTGATGAACACCAGCATCAGTGCTTCCCATTTTATTAAATAGATTCACCATCTATTTATCTTAAATCATTCATTCACTCATTCATAAAATATTTATTCACAAAATAAGATCTCTTGCCTTTATAGACTTACATTCTAATGAAGGTGAAAGACAACAAACAAGGAAACAAAAAGCACTTAATTAAATTACAAATTGCTATTAGTGCTTTGAAGTAACCAATAGAATTGAATCCTCTTTTGATAAGGTGGTTAGGAAAGTCTTCACTGATGTGGTTACATTTATGCTGAGACTAAGAGTAATAAAGGATGACATCTGAAGAGAAATTGAAGCAGAGGAAATAACAGAGACAAAGGCTCTTGCTTAGGAAAACTTTCATATTTGAGTTATAGAAAGGTGACTAGATTTTGCAGAAGGAGAGGGAACAGTGGTGCAAGATGAAGCTGGAAAGGAAGGCAGGGGCCAGATCACACAGGGCCATAAAAGCATGCAAGGGAACTTTTAAGAACAGCTTTATTGAGTATAATTCACGTGTCATACAATTCACCCATTTAAAGTGTACAATTCAATAATTCTTTGTATATTCACATGAATTTTAAAATATTTTCATCACCTCGAAAAGAACTCCCCATCCCACCTCTAAAAAGGAAAAAGCAAACAAACAAACAAACAAACAATCAAACCCCATAGGCTTCAGTTGTCACTTTCTATCCTTCCTCCTTCTCCCACCTGGGCCCTAAGCAACCACTAATCTACCTTCTGTCTGTAGGTTTTCCTACTCTGGACTTTCATATGAATGCAATCACACAGTGTGTGCCTTCTTCCACTTAGCATACTATTTTAAAGGTTCTTCCCTTTTGTAGCTGTATCAGTGCTTCATTACTTCTTACAGCGGAATAATTTTCCATTCTATGGATACACCACTTTTTATTTCTCCAGCTGTCCTTTGGTGGAAAGTTGGGTTCTTTTCCATGTTTTTGGTTACTACAAATACTGCTGCTATAAATATTTGTGTACCGGTTTTTGTGCAGTCATATGTTTTCCCTTCTCTTTCATTTGACTGCTAGCATTCCTAGGATTGGAATTGCTGGGTCATATGGTAACTCCATGTTTTATCATATGAGGAGCTGCTAGACTGGTTTTCAAAGCGGCAGCACCATCTACAGCAGTGTATAAGGGTTTATCCTTGTCAACATCTACTGCAATCTGACTTTTTAATTCTAGTCTGCCATGGCAATAGGGAAGCTGGGCAAAAGTGGTTTGAAGTTCGAAAACTGAGAGCAATCTTAATTTTTGGTTCATCATCAGCTCCCAGATCTAATCAATTCTACTTCCTAAATATTCCTGGATTATGCCCTCAGCCACTCCATTTCGACTGCCACCTCCATTATTTGGTCACCATCATCTCTCCATGAGTCTACGGCACCAATCTCATTGGTCTCCCAACTTCCAATCTACTCCACATCAGTCTATTTCAGCAGCCAGAGTAATTTTTAAAAATATTGATCTGATCATGTCTTTCCCCATTTAGAATCTTTCATTGATTCCTCACTGCCCTGAAGATACAACTCTAATTTTTAAAGGGGGTCGGTAAAGTCTTTCAGGATTTAGCTACTGCTGACTTCTCCATCACATTTCCTGCCCCTCCTCCCCCAACCCTGAGCTCCGACCATGCATAACTCCTTCCAGAGCTTTGAATGTTATTTGTCATCTTGTCCACTCTATCAGTCAGCTCAGGCTTCCATAACAAATATACCATAGCCTAAGCGACTTAAACAACAGAAATTTTTTTTCATGGTTCTGGAGGCTGGGAAGTTCAAGATAAAGGTTCTGGCCGATTTGGTTTCTGATGAGATCTCTCTTCCTGACTCACGAATGGTCACCTTCTGTCCTGTCCTCACCTGGCAGAGTAAGAAAGCAAGTTCTCTGGTGTCTCTTCTTAGAGGGACACTAATTCTATCAGATCATCCATAGAACCTCGTTTTACCTTATTAGTTCCTAGAGGCACTCTCTTCAAACACAGTCACATTGGATTTTAGACCTTCAACATATGAATTTTGAGGGGTCCATAGCATCCACAGTACTTTGTTCACACTATATCCTTTGCTTGAAACAGTGTTTCTCCCAGTCTTTGCCTGGTTGACTGAGTCTGATTCCTCAGTTCTCATCACTTTCTCCAAGAAGTCTTCTTGGACTCTCCAAGACAGCTTAATAAGTTTCTTCAAAGTGCTCCCCTCAGTCTCCTGTATTCACCTCATCATTGGATTTGTCACATTGTGTTGCAGTTGCCTTTTTAATTGTCTCTGTTCCTCCCTAGATTGTAAATGCCTTAAAGGCTGGTTATCTGTTTTGTTGGAGTCTTAGCACCAAGAACAGTTCTTGACAAATAGTAGTCACTAAATCCATTATTTATTGAATAAATTATGCCTTTATTATTTTTTCCCTCCATCCCATGTCCTCCCATTCACAATACAGACCAGGCAAGGGCCCGGGCTGAGGTGTGTATGGGATGGGTTTACTCTGCCTCCTCTTTCTACACAGTCAAGTGCAAGAGTACAGCCTGTCGTAAGCATCAGGAGGCCACCATTATCATTTTGAAGAGAGTTTATTCTCTCCCTAAAAATACTTGTGGAAATACTTGCAACATTCAAGAATATAAGTCTGCATTTTAGGGTTTTATATTCTAAATTATAGGTGATACTAATAGGATTGATTCATTGTTCCATGTGGATTTAATATAAAGTATTCACAGACCTATAGTTAAAAAAAAAATAGTACCCCCAAACCATCCATTGAGGTTTTTGTTTCCAAAACTTGAAAAAAGCAAATAGCAGTCACCTACATTCAAATCAATCCTTCATTTTTATGCCTCTCCCATTCTCCTTTCCTATATCATGAATCAGAGCTGCATTCAACTAAGTAAGTTTTCTACCCAACCAGAAGACACTATTGGTACTCAAAAATGCTAAGTAAGACTGGTGTGGTGTTGCAGGTTGTTGGATTTCTTCTGGAAAAGGGAGCAGATATCACCCTTTGCAATTACAGCAATCAAACCGCAGTTCATGTGGCTAATTGTGATGTCCAAAGACAACTCTTGGCCATCAGTGGAATCAAGGCTCCCCAAATGCAGCTTCTACAAAGTTCATGGCAAGGTGATCTTGAACAACTTCAACACTTGCTGGTCAGTTAAACTGATGTTTGCTTCTCCCTTTGGGTAGATGGGTAGGTGTGGGATGAGAAGGGAACAGACTACACAGGACTCCTTTCAAAGAAAAGTAAGTTCTTTTCAAATGCAGTCCCAGAACATTTCAGGCAGGAAATAGGAAAAAGCAACAGGATCAAACAGGACACAGGGGTGGAAAACAAGTTAATAAAAGAACACAGCAGCAGCCTATTTACACCTTCCTCTGGCTGAGTGCTAGAAGTCATGGAAAACTCCCGGGAAATGATGTACTTTTAAGGATGCCCTTGGAGAACCACTGTCAACTTGCTCAGAGGACTTCCCTTGACATCATTGCCATTTGTACAATTGCTGTTTAGATCCCTTTGGACCATTTGCAGTTATTACCTTTATACTGAAAAGGGAATCAGAGAGTCTATGCTTTGCATAATATTTAGTTGTGACTAAAGAAATTAAGAGGATAGCTTTTTAAATGCTGTCTTTTTTAGGGTATTGATTTTCTTGTTTAAATTTTCTGCCCATAGATACTCTTTCCCAAAGTAACTTGCAAAACTACATGCATAACCAAGGACATTAATTATTGGCAAAAGGCAACTGCTTACTCTTGGCATTTACCTTCAGAGATACTGTCAGATCACATGACCTTCCAACTGAAAGAAAATCAATTGCTGCTAGGAAACAGTTTCTTCCATTCCCTTATGGTAGAGATACACACAGATGAAGAAAAAATGAAAGATAGGCTGGTCCCCTAGAGTTCAAGGAAATAAACAACAAAATCTCAAGGACTCTAAATGCTTTTGTTGTACTAAATGATAATCTAAAATTGCCATATATTCATTAACTGAGGCTTACAAGTGTTCTTGGATGACACTACATTTTATTTTAATTGTGTTTTCAACAGCTGTTGTTGTAATTCCATGTCTGTTTTCATAACCACATTTTTCACTCCTAAAGATGAGCAGCCGAGTTTTAAGAAACTGGTACCTGTACCTAGATCCAGAACTTAATCAACAGATGCTGAATTAACACATTCCTGCGAGGTTATTCTCAGCTTAAAATTTCATGTCGGTGCTAACTAATAATAAGCATTGATGTAAGAAATGGTTCCTTTTCAGAGACTGAAAAAAAAAACTAACTAATTAATTCCCACAGCACCCCTCTGAGGTAATATCATTATCCAGAGTTTGTCCCTGGAGAAACTGAGGTAAAGACACTGACTATATTGACACAGAAATAACATAAAATAGAGATGGAAATTCACGAGTTACTTTGGTCTATAAAATAAACACTTTGGCTAATTTGGCCTTCCAGTAGCTTCTTAGTTCTGAATTATCCATTTTAAATTTTACTTTCATTAAGACAACAAATAACATATATATAGCCACCTCCATTAGACTATATAAATACAGGTAAATGAGCTGCCTTATGATTGTAAATCATTCATTCATCCACAAATGTTTACTGAGCATATGTCAAACACTCTGCTCAGTGCTTTTCATAGTCTATCTCCAATCATCAAAACAACGCTGCAAGGAAGATAACTATTATTCTTACTTTGCTGCTAAAGACCCTGAAGGTCAATGACTAAGGTTGCCAGAGTTTGCAAATAATAAAAATACAGGACACTCATTTAAATTTGAATTTCAGATAAAGAACAAATAATTTTTAGTATGACTATGTCTCAAATGAAAATTATTCATTATTTAACTAGATGTCTCTTGTTTTTATTGGGGTGACTTTATCAACTTTTAACAGCATATCCTTGATATAAGCCTGTCAGGAAGGTTAAATAACCAGTTTAAGGAGTTCAGATTCAAACAGAGTTCTATCTTTCTCTCAGCCCTCTGTTCTTTCAATTCATCAACTCCCTCCAAGATATTGAGAAAGAATGTCTTGAAGTTAAAATGCGAATTTGGCCAAGCAATGAAAAAGTGAAGATTAGTATTAATTAGACATACAGTAAAAACATAACTGAAATAAAGCTTCATGTTTTAAAGATGTCTGAAGAGTTCCTGGATATAAACTTCCCAAACCAACATGGCCTGACCCCTCTGATGCTGGCTGTGAGAGATGTGGACCTGTTTGAGAGTCTTGATATGTTAACCCTCTACAGACCTGTGGAGGTTCTGTCTGAGCTCCTCAGACATCACGCGTGAGTATGCGTGGTCAGTCAGCTCCAGTGGAAGGGTGTCGTCTCTGCCATTGTTACTTACAGAAGTCAACTGCAAACCAGGACATGTAGATTGCCATACATATATATTCGTGTGTGTGTATAATGCACGTGCATGTTCATAAAAGGGACTTTGCAAATGCAAAGTCGATGAACGAATGTTAGATGCTGCTATCTATTATTATGATATTGGCCCTTAGTTTTATTTGTTTAAACACTTACTCTCTTGGTAGTTACTGGGAATGTCACATAATTCTTGAGTATGCAGCTCCCTACCCCTAAAACGTTCGTAATTATTTCAGAAAGCATTGTCAACTATCAAAAACAATTTATAGTAGTGATTTACAGGTATCTAAAAATTACATGTCAGCATAGTCTTTTAGGATGGGAGAAGTAAACAATTAACTTTTTAAAAAAGTTAGAGAGTTCATAAGCAATCTTTCATGACAGAATTCCAGTTTCCTAACACTGTCACATATTTATTTTGTAGTCAAATAAGAAGAGATGGCCCAAGGTCTTTCTCAGTATTTCTTATGAATTTTGTTTTGGGGGGAAAAAAGGGAGAAGGAACTTCCAGAACAAAAGTATAGTCAAGAACATGAGCAACTGTAAAAGGATCAGTTAGTACAGAAGTCTGAAGCTACATCAGATTTTAAAGCAACATCTGAGATTGTTACAAATGGAGATTATTGGGCACCACATAGAGATGGTATTCAATAGGCCTGGGGTGGGGTCCAGAACACAGGCGATCAAAGGCCACCCCACGGAGAAACACTAATCAAGGCAGATGAGCCAGCTAAGTTCCCAACGAGTTAAGTGACTTGCTTAAGGCCATCTCTCAAGGTAGTGGTGGCCCCTCAATTCTTGGTCCTATGCCAATCCTTTTGAATTTTGGCCTTTGAAGGAGAAAAGGCCATAAGAATATTGTTGCAGAACATCAAACATGACCCTGTCCCACAACAATAAAGAGATGCAAATTGGAAGGTGTTAGGTTGGAGACCATGATCAGCTTGCTCTGGGTCCCAGAATGTGACTAGTGAAGCACATTTAATCATTGTGTTTCCCTCACCATCATCTGTTAATAGAGTTTTCATCATTTACCCCTGGGCCTCTCTGAGCTGAGGCCTAATTCTAGGATTCAGTACAGCATAGAGAGGAGATTTGTGCTGATGCCAGGAGCCCTAAGATCAGCCAGTTGGTCTTAACAATCACAGGGCAAAGAGGAATGAAAAAGTCATGCAGAGAGAGATTTTATGATAAGATCATTCCACTCAAAGAAGATGCTATGAAATAAGCATATCAGTTTTATTTCAAAGAGAGATTCTATGCCATTCTACTATTGTGAATGATAAAAGAGCTAGCAGTTAGCATTAGGAAAAAAGAAATATTGAGAATAGGCAGTCAGCTAAATCATTGGAAAGAAAAAAACCAATCCATTCAGCTATTTGGGATGACAAGATAATAGTTTACCAAGATGTTTTTATCTTTACTTGATTTATCATATACATCATTAAAGAATGATGAAACTTTCTGTCCAAAATTGGAAATTTTCTGCAAATATTGGAATGTTTTTAGAAAGGAAGTGGCATAAAATTCACAGCCTTTTATTTTAAAATCCTTTTATTTAAAAATCTTGAAAAATTGTCACTCTTTATCTCATACATTTTGAAATCATTGTTGTTATCCCCAAACTGTGTAAGATTACTTTTATTTACTTGATGTCAAAGTTTTTCCTCTCATACTGATTTTGTTTTTCAATAGATTTAACTAAATAATCCTTCATGTTGATTCTATTCTTCCTAGAGATCCTAAACTCTGTGATTTTAGTGGAAAATCAGCAATACATTATGTGTCACAAATAGAGAGTTTTAGGAAACAGCAGTTATTGGACATTCTAATGAATTCTATGCCAAAACCAGGTAAATATTTCTATTCCATTTTCAAAATTCTCCAACTATAAAAGCCCTATTAGAAATCTTTCTTTTTCTACATGTATTTGATGGATCCATTGAAAGAAATCAACTATTTATTGAGCAGTAATTTTGTACGAGACCCAGGACTAGGTACTCTAGGGCATGCAAAGATGTCTAAGAGGTCTAAACTTTCTAAAGTGTTCAGTATGTTCAGGGACACATCACATAAGTCAGAGGAGAAAGAGCTTGTGGTAAAATTGTAAGAGGAAGAGGAACTTCCAGTGGTTCTTCCTTCCACAAAAGTATAGTCAAGAATGTGAGCAACTGCAAAAGGATCAGTTAGTATAATAGGATGAGTACAGAAGTCTGAAGCTACAGGAAGGAAGAGAAAAGGAAGGAAGGAAGGAAGAGAAAAAGAGAGAAGGTTTGATATAGGTGGGGAGAAAGACTCTGAGCAAGACAAAGAAATAGCCACAGAGGACTCGCCACTGAGCCACGTGTGACCTTGTGAAAGCTGCTTGACTTTATTATTTGATTGGCTTCTTGTTTGAAGCTTCTGGGCGGGGAACTAGGCTATCCCCAGGATGGTTTCATGGAACAGTTGAGACTCAACCCGGTCCTTTAAAATGATGAGATTTGACTGTGTGGAGCAGAGGCATCATGCTGTGAGTGAACATGGCTTATCCCAAGGGCAAACAGGAGACTAGAACCATCAGTTCATGTCAAGGAAAAAGAATACAAAAGATTAGATACATAAAGAAATTGGGTTCACTGAGGACTCATTAAATGTCAGGCTGAATGGCATAGTGTTTTTTTCCCAATAAAATAGAGTCACCAAAGAATTTTAAGCCAGGGAATGATGAAAGCCATGTTTTAGGAAAATAAACATGTCATCGTATCGGATGAATTCAAAGGAACAGACTCATGGCAGGGAAGCTCTACAGAGAAACTATAGAAGTACCTGTGTGGGTTTATAAGGACCAGAAAAAGAGTCCTTGGGCATGGTATGTAGTGGATTTGAGAGATGCTGGGTATGGTGAATCTAGAGACTACAAAACAATGCACATAACTTAGTGATGTAAAGTTGATAGAGGAGACACAGAGATAAGGCTTGAGAAAGCTGAGTTAGACACGATTCCAAAGTTTGAGCCTTAGGAAGTGGGGAGATGGAAATATAATCAACAAAATAGGGGAACACTATGGTTTGCTGAGGATGTTGGCGGTAATGGATTCTAAAACACTGCATTGGATGGAATCTTGTTCAGTTTTGTTTCAGTTGTAAGATAAATGGAAGAGCCATTACAAGAGGAAGAAGTTTTCAAGGAAGAGCCCCTGCTTATTTGAAGAAGACAGGAGAGCAGGAGAAGAATGTATATGAGAACAGTGTAGCTCAGGAATTAACTGGGAGTTCACTGTTCGGTGTTCAGAACTCTGTCAATTTAATGTGTCAATTTAATGTGGCTTCAGGGGCTAGACAGGAAGTGTGCTCCAAGTTAAAAAAAAAAAAGCTGAGCACTTTTGTCTTTGGAAACTAGAAAGCCAATGTAATTTCCAGTTCATTGTTAGGGGTTTCACTTAGCAACTGTGTCACCTTTTTAAAAAACAAACAAGCAAAAACTCATTCATTCTGTGGACTCTTGTTGTCCTCACATCCTTTCCTGTGAAAATTATGGTCCATGCTTTATCAAGATCCCAGATCACCATTTCAAGAAAATCTTTGACAAAATGGAACTGATTTTAAAACCTAGAGCTAGATCTTGCTATGAAGTTGTTGGAGATGTGTCTTATCAAAACATGTTATAATGTTTCTTTTGGCAGAGAGACATGCTGAATCATTGCTTGACATTTGTCATGATACAAACTCTTCTCCAACTGATATGATGACAATCACTACAAACCAAAATATAATCTTGCAAAGCATCAGCAGCAGTGAGGTAAGATGCTCTCTTTAAAGAAACAAACTAACAAAAAATGGATAACCAACTCCATCTACATTTACTGCATTTCCATCTACATAATTTGTGTTGCTTGAATATTTTATAACAGTCATATATTACAATTCTATACTTAAATGTGATCATAAGGAAACTTAAAGCGCAATTACTGACAGTGTTTCCTGAGTTCAATCTCAGAGAGTAATTAGGTAGTCAATTCTGAGTCTCATGCATTGTGTGTGTGTCTGTATCTAATACCACAGAAGACTGTTGCTGTTGAGTCCATACTAAGTAATAAAATGTAGCTTGTTTTTATGGTATATTAATGTGGAAAAGGAGAAGATCATTAACCTGGTCATGTCAAATCCATCAAGATGCCTCCCTATGGCCCTGGTCATCACCCTTGCCCATGATGAATGATTCCACAAAGTACAATAACAGTACTTGTAACAAACATTGTGATCCATAGAAACCTGTGGAATGATTCCCAAGACATACAATAAACTGGTAACAGTGGTTGCCCAAAGGGACAGAACTGGAGATGAACTTCACACTGTATACTCACTGGTATCTTTTGAATTTTTATAAAAATTAACATAGTCCACACAGTTAAAAATATTACTACTCTATTTTTAATTGGTAAGAAAAATATTACTACTGTATATTTTACTGGTAAGAAATAATATAATAAGAAATAATATGGTGAAGTTTTTTTTTAATTAATGAGGTACAGACTATAATATGTATAAACATTATGAAGAGTTTTGGAGACAGTGGAGTAGAGATCTTTCAGCCACTTCCTCCTTCCAAAAATCATCCCCAAACAACAAAGAAAACAAAGACCAAAAAATTAAGCGAAAAAATTGGTTTGAACTAACTATGGATTCATAACACCTTATTAAAAGTAGTACAGAGAGGTCCCGTTCAACTTTTACCGGCTTCCCTCAATGGGAATTACTGTCATAACCGTAGCTGGCTGTCAACACTGGGACGTTGGCATTGACAACGATACAGTGAACTAGTCTACAGACCTTATTTGGTCTGTTTTTCACATGTGTTCCTTTTTCTTTCTCGTTCTGTTTGTGTATGTCTGTGTGTACAATTCCATGACATTTTATCCCCTAAATCATCATAATCAAGATACAGAACTGTTCTGTCACCACAAAGGAACCCCCTCTTACCACCCACTTTATAGCCACCTTCTCTCCACTCACCTCTGGCAACCACTGATCTGTTCTCCAGCTCTATAGTTTTGGCATTTCAAGAATGCCATGTAAATGCAATTATCACACATGTGAACTTTTGAGATTACCTTTCTCTACTCACCATAACACTCTTGAGATGGATCCAAGTTGTTGTGTGTTTCTTTATATTGCTAAATAGTATTCTATTACAATTCTATTTTGTTCCACAGTTTATTTAACTATTCCTTCATCGAAAGACATTTGGATTGTTTACAGTTAGGGACTATTACAAATAAAGTTCCTGTGAACATCCATGTACAGATTTTTGTGTGAACTTACATTTTCATTTCTCTAGGATATGTACCCAGGAGTCTAATTACTGGGTCATATGGTAAATGTACATTTAACTTTTAAAACATTGCCAAACAATTTTCCAGAGTGGCTCTACCATTTTCTATTCCCACCAGCAATAAAGGAGAGATCCAGTTTCTCTACACCCTTGTCAACATTTAGTACTGTCAGCATTTTAAATTTTAACCCATTTTTAAAATTTTAACCATACTAGGTATATGGTGGTATCTCATCGTGGTTTTAATTTGCGCTTTTCCTAATGACTTTTTTAAAATATTTATTTGCCATCAGCATAAGTGTCAGTTCAAATATTTTGTCCATTTTCTGATCTGATTGTTCTCTCATTGTTGGGTTTAGAGAATTCTTTATATATTCTGGATATATGACTCACAAATACTTTCTGCTAGTCAATGAGAAAAACTTGTTTTTCCCCCACCTTTTAACAGTTCTTTTATCAAACAGAAATTTTTAACTTTTGATGAAAACCAATTTATCCATTTTTTTTCTTTATGGGTCTTGATTTTTATGTTATGTCTAAGAAGTCTTTTACTTGATCTGGGTCCTGGTGACATGACTCTGTTAGTTTATAAAAATTCACAAATCTATGCACTTACGATATGTGTACTTTTCTGAATGTATGCTATACTTGAAAGGAAAGGGAAGGGAAGGGTTGTGCCTTCAAATATCTGAGAAAAGAATATGGTTTTCAACCTAAGGTTTTATATCCAGACAAACTATATATCAAGTATTAAAGCTGAATAAAGACATTTTTCATACACACAAAGGTTCAAACATTTTACATTTCATTAACCTTTTTAAGGAAGCTGCTATGTGCTCTATTAAATTAAGGAAATAGATAAAAAATAGAAAGAAAAAGTGAATTCATGATTCGGGGGATCTGGAATCCAACACAAGAGAGGAGGGGATCCTTGGTATAAAGAAGACAAGTCCCAGGGCTTCCGCTACAAGTCAGATCTAGAGAACAAAGAGCTCTGATCATTGTGGGGTGGGCGGTGCGGGGGAGAACACGGTAACAGAAACTTCCAGGAAGAAAGTGGAACCAATATATTATCTGATATATTTAACCAAGTGGAGAGACCACTGGAGGTTGGGAGGATTTAAGATTTTAAAAAATACAAGAAAATGAATTAGATACTAAGTAAAATTGTGAATGAAATAAAAACAGGGGTTTGAGTTTTGGGGGAAAAAAGTTCCATGAGAAAGAAAGCATTATCACACTACACTATTATTGTACTACTATAGTGCAATACATATATAAGTATACTATGATATTCAAATAATCATAATTTGAGGGGGAAGGCAATAGCTCAAGCGATAGAGCGCATGCTTAGCAAGCATGAGGTCCTAGGTTCAATCCTCAGTACCTCCTCTAAAAATAAATAAACAAACCTAATTACCTGCCCCCCCTGCCAAAAAAAAAACAAAAAAACAAATAATCATAATTTGAACTTTGTCAATTGATTTAACACAAAAAAGAGAATGAATTTACTGGGAGGATAGGGATGGCGGATAAGAATGTTAAATTGTCAATGGCAATAATAAGAAGCTGGTAGGTAATGTATTACTTTAGTGACGTGACAGATAGCAGGATAAATATATTATCTAGAGATGTGGAGGAAAATACCAAAGGAAACAGATAAAAGGCTGAAACTGGCTGCTTCTTGGGGAAAGAGTGGGGAAGAAAACCAATGACCTTTTTGTTATGTTCTTTTTTTTACCAGTATCTGACCTTTTTAAAATGTGCAAATTTGATCAAAATTAAAGTTAATTAAAAATTAAAATACAGAAATAGTTAAATCAGGACTCCTCTGGGGCATGGGATGGAATGAGGTAGAATGGAAATGTTTATTTTTTAATACTATCTGAATATTTTATCTTTGTGCATTTATAAATTTTTCAAACAGGTTAGCCTGCTTTTTTACCAAAGTTGCTTTCATACAGTTGTTCTCAACATGGGGGTGATATCTCCCCCTGGGGGCATTTGATAATGTTCAGAGATATTTTTGGTGTCAAAACTGGGGCAGAGGTGCTACAAGTGCTACAAGTCAGTAAGTGGTTAGAGACCAGGGATATTGCTCAACATCCTACAGTGCACAGGACAGCAAAGGATTATCCAGCCCCAAATGTCAACAGCAGTGAGGCTGAGAAACCCTGCTGTATGGTAGGTCTTGTCACAACACTGAAGGTGGCATTGTTTTGGGTTACTAATATTACACAGTAACTGGAATAAAATACCTAGCAACCGATCTTTAAAAAGAGTGTCATGCATCAGAAATTGATACACTAAAACATATTTACTTTTCACTTTTTTGTAGTATATTTAAGAATTTTCTTTTTTAAGAAGACTGAAAACCCCTTCATATTAGTACATTTTTTTTTCATGCAGCTTGAAAGCGCTTTTTGAACTTTCTATAGTTTTCTTATTGCAGTTGAAATAACTTTGAACTCATTTCTGAGGGAGAAATAGACTCTCTCACTATTGAATTTGCCTCCTCTTCCCTAGTGTTTTCTCTAGGGTTTAAATTGCAAAACCCAAGGTCATCCTTCACTTCTTTTCTTTGAATGAAAGCTCGCTTTTCTTCTCGGTTGTCTGCAATAGGTTTTTATAGCTTACAAATAGAAGCAGCTGCCTTGCCTGTAGGATGCTCCTGAGAGGTGCTTTATAGCCTCTCCCAATCTTTTCTCATCTAAGGAGAATCCTCTTTCCAAATTTAATTACATATGATTTCTACACCTCTTTTCTCTTCTGTATGTTTGGCCTTCTGCTGTTTGCAGATCAGAACGCCATGCACTCTATCTGGTCTGCATCATGTCCTGCATCATTGTCAATGGTTGATGAACTCCATTTATGTTTGGGATGTGCTATTCTAACATTTTCTCTCCTTCACTCAAGACTGAGTATCATTATTTCAATTTTCTGCCTCGCGGCACCCAAGCACACTAAAGTCGTTCATATTTAGAATTCTAAAAGAAATCAGAAAATTCTGAGCTGTTTCTGCTTTAGTCTTCATTTCCACGATAATCTTCAGAGTAGATATTATTCCCAACAAGCTTTTTGTTTGTGATGCTTATGGTTTTCCAGTTTATTCTCTGGAAGAAATTTTTGTTGGGCACTTGTAAGTATCACACATTTTTAATCTTTTACTGTGCAAAACCTGTAAATTAGGTTTGAGTATCCTTTCTCTCAATTTTGCTCACTGTTACTGATTCTTTTCTTTCTGGATCTTGTTGAGAGTCTCTGTTTTAAATTTTTCATGGTAACAAGAAAGTAGAGTGCTTAAGACCTCTGGAACCAGACTTCAGAGTCTGGGTGTGAATCCTGGTTCTACCATAGGCTAGGTTTGTGACCTTGTGTAAGTGACTAAACTTCTCTGGGCCTCATGTATAAAAAAGATGATAATAGTTCCCACCTTTAGAGTTGTTGTGAGGATTAAATCAGTTAACACGTGTAAGGTGCATAGAACAGTGTCTAGCACTGTACATGTAAATGCTAAGTCATCGTTACGGGTTTTGTAGGTACGTGTGTCTTTCAACTTTTCCTAAAAGACCAACTGATGAATGAACTGAGCAGCTGAGAGCGACCACAGCTCATTAATCAATACAGAAACCTGAAATGAGAACCAGTCGTATATCTAACACTTCTGAATGAGGGCGGCTATTTCCAGTTTAACATAAAAATTTCATTGGATCACTGTAATGATATGAAATGGTAGAAATATATTTTGAGATCTCATAGAGTGTTCTAGACTAAGAATCTGAACAAAAACTTTATATACTAAAAAGAAAAATTCCATAACTGCTGAGCATCTGAAACTATCTCCAACTTTTCTACTAATCAAAGCATGCCCATTCAAACAACAATAAGATGACCATATATTACATTACCCGAAATGAAAAGTGATGGTAATTGACAGGAGAAGGTATAGTGAAACACACTCATGAACTGCTGGTGGAGAGAAGTAGTAAGTGTAACCTTTACTTTTAAAGCAATGTGTGTTAAAAGAAAAAAACAAAAATTTTTCTACTCTTTAGATCAATAACACTATATTCAGAATCTACTCTAAAGAAATAATGCAAAATTGGGGTATTACTTGTAAAGATGTTTGCAGCACTATGTGTAATAATGAAGAATTAAAAACTGCCTAATATACATTAAGGGGCTTATATTGTAAGACCCATGGGGCTTACTAAATACTGTAATGACCCTCCGATAAAATTCCATTAAAGTTATGTTTACTTAGTAAATTGCTATGTAATTTATACTTGTTTTAAGTGAAAAAGCCTCATACAAAATGATATAAGGCAACTGTATTTTTAAACATTTGGGAAAAAACAAAGAAAATATCATTTCCATGTTAACAGTGTTTGCTTTTTGTTTGTAGGATTGCAGGTGATTAATTTTTAAAAAAAGAAGTCCTCTCATCTTTGTAATTGGATGGGAGGGAGAAGAAATTTGCCAGATGGTGGTAGAATTTTTGAAATGTAGAGAATAAGCAATGAAATTGACAACAGTCTAGTGTGAAGGTGAACTGGTCCAGGCTGTCCCATCTGCTATTGACAACCAGGGCCCCTAACCTTTGCTGGGAGGTAGAAAATGCTTTAAAAGACACGGACTAATGCATAAAAGTGAACTATGTCAACTAAGTTATTATAATTGAGTATCTAAAATATTTTAATGGCAGTATACATGGCAGGTTCTTTTTTTTTTTACTGTGATAATTAAAATGAACAAAGCAAAAAGAAATGATTTCTAAGCTGACTTTGGAATTAATGAATGAAATATCAGAAGCTTTGTGATAAAGGCTACCCACTTGTCCAACAGGCATCTGCATTTAGGTCAAAGACTTTTTATCCAACAGTCTCCTTAAATAGATGGTTTACCCAGATCACAGAAACCAGAGAACTAACTATAACATCCAGGTTGTGATGGGATATCTTCACTGCTACTTGTATCTATCACTGTTCTAGACATTAAAAAGGGCAAAATCACCAGCAACAACTACTAATGAAGGAACCTGTCAACAACAATGAATTCTAATGAGAAAGCATTTCTTCTTCAGGGAGTTAGGAGTATTTTTCGTAAATCAAGTTGTTTTTCAACCATGTTTTTCAGCGTAATGATTTTTTACTAGAGGGTAAAAGGGAAGTTTGAGAGGTTGCAGGCCATGATTAGATCAGAAAGCTGTCATACTGAAAAACTTTAATAAGCTTTGCTGCCTCCTTTCAGTCTAAGGTTATATCTGCATCTTCCATATGGAGCAGGGATTTCCACCCTCACCATTTGTAAATGATGCCCCAGGGAGGCACTATGGAAAATATCATGTTCCTTTGGGGTTGTTCACTGACTGTAGCCAAAGGATTCTTTCCAGTTACCCACCCAAATGGAATTTGTGGCAGGTTAACAGCCTGGACGCGGGCATGATAAACTATAAAATATTGAATTTCTATGTGTCTGTGTGATTTCAGCTTTCATCTTCGTTTTTCGATTATGCAATTAATCACATCCATGTCTGTCTGAGCCTGGTGCTCCAGGAGTGAATACTTTCCCATTATTTTAGTCCTAAATACTTGATCCAATTTAAAAAGCATCCACAGTGTGAAACTTCAGCCTAGGAAAAAAAATCAACATTCACTCTGCCAACCAAACAGTACATCGAGCAACCTGAGTTTCTGTTTTATGATATTTCAGGAGTTTGACCAAGACGAGGACTGCAGTCATTCCATATTGGCTAGTGAAGAAGGAGAGCCAGGTGGTGATGGACACGATTGGCAACCCAGGACAGAAGGTATCCATCTTCTGCCCTTTGATGTGTTTACAAAGATAACATTATTTGTATTTCCCCCCTAATTTCAGTAACACTCAGTGCAGAACTTTGAAATCATAGACAAGCACACAGGAAAAGAAAAACCACTCATCACCCTATCCTTTGGTCCATATCTGAATCTGTGTCTTGGCCACCTGCCCTGCCAAAATGAGCATCTCTCTTCTGTCTCACCTCTTTGTTCCGCCCCATTCCAGCTCAGCCCACTGTTCTCTGCTCTTTCTTTCTTCTCTGATAACATCTTTCCCCCATATCTTTCCTCTTAGAGTATTTTGTCAGCTCCAGGGATCTGTCCTCTTCCAGGACCAAGCATTTCTCTGGCTGTTATAACACAGGTCCTCCCTGGATGGGGAGAAGGGGCACTGAACAAGGCTCTAAAGCCCCCAAGTCTCTGTCTTTTATTCTGGGAGGACATAAGTCTGGAATTTTCCAAACAACGCCCATCCAAATATGTCATCCTGTCCTACCCGTAAGCACCCTTGCATTGAGCAGACCATAAGGCATCTGCAGATTCTCACTGCAGAAAGTAGTTGCCACAGTGATCACATTTGTCTGTTATCTACCTGCCTGTAAACTTCTTAAATTAAATGTTCACTTGAACTGGTCCAGTCTCTCTCTGGCAGGTCTCCTACTTCCATTTCTAACACGCCAGGGAAGCTGCCCCTTGGATGTCTTTCTTCTCATCCCCATCAGCCACCCTGAATGCAGCAGCGCTGTCCTAGCTGCTGTCTCCTTTGACCCCTTATGTGATGCTGCCCTCTTCTGGGGAGTCCTGCTTTTCTCAAACGCACTCGGAATCTCCTTTCCCCTGACTGAGGGTGGAGAATAATTCAGTAACATTTGCAATTATTAACATCAGGAAGCCTGAAAAACCTAATTAAAATAAACAAGTCCTGATCCCCTTCCAAAGAGTCCTTGTGATGTGCCTTTGACTCTCAAAGACTTCAAAGCTGAGTTCTCAGAAGCTCAAGTGATTACAAGAGGTTAAAATAATGTGTTTATTCTGCTCCATTTGGAGATGACTTGCCATCTGAGGTGTTTATAATTCTTTTTAAATCGATTTGTAATATTTTAGGCTTTCATATAGAAACCATAATACTTACGCAGAGATTCTACTAAGCTCTTGAAGTTTTAAGCTTTCATAACTTGGGTTACACAATCTAAGGAAGCAATTAGGTCTCTAAATTTTCTTCTCATAGTTAGTAAGAGTCTTCAGTAGAGCTAGTTGCTCTTTTAAGTCACGAAGTCTGAAATAAACATGGTTGGGGCATTATTGTGCATTGTGTTCATCTTAAATAGCACTAAATGTCTTTAAATCCATTTACACTCTATTTACATGTTTCTAACATACTCCAAGTTGTTACTTTTAAGGGCTTGCACACTTAATGAAGACTTTATGCATATACCATGTGACTCTTTATTCTGTTGTACATATATACACTTAATCATTAGTTTATATCTGTTTGTTCATTGTGTTAGTCTGTTAAAAAGGGAGCATCACTAACTAAAATATAAATAACTCTACAACTCACTCTTAGACTTTAACAACTAAGTATTCCTGCAGCACACATTTGCTTTATTATGAGCTTTTGTAATATGTATGAAATTTGTAAATACAATTTACAAATTTGGATGCTCCTCTCACCACCACCACCACCAAATCCCTCATCCTTTCCTTAGTATAAAAATCGTCTTGCATTCCTCAATCAGCTATTTTCTCAAAACATATCAGATGCAAACCTTGTAGGCTGGAAACTGAGCATGTAAAATTACTCTTTTCATGAGAATAAGAAACTTGTTTCCTGAAATTACTGGGCTTAAATTTTTTTAATACAGTGTGTATACATCAGGATTGTTAAGTGCAGATAACAGAATCTACTCTACTTGGTTAAAAAAAAAAAGGAAATTTTTAAAGATATTAGAAAGTTCATAGACAATTAAAAAAAAAAACAACCAAAGGAGAACAAAAGACCCCAGTCTGGGTTGCAAGAAAGAATTCTTGTAACTACATCTAAAAACTGGCTACTGACCCCCAGATCACGCTGCCTTGGCCACAACCGGGAGCTGCTCCCACGTCAATCTTAGAACCTCCATCCTCTGCCCCAGCATCAGCCAAAGGATGCCTGTGGCTTATCTTTGTTCATGTAACTCATGTCAATCTCTCTCTCAAATTAGCTTTCTGAATTCTAGTGGCAGAAAAGGCTGGAAAATGTAGTGTTAAAAAATTCCACTGAAATTCATGATTCAGGAAATTAATAAAACATGGAGAGATTATCAAAATATTTTGAACCTTGAGGCTTATCCAATTAAACAAAATAAGTGGAAAGCATGGAAAACATAGGAAACTAAGACTTTTCTGGGGAAAATAATTTTTCTTCATTGAATAAATTAGGCTAGACCAATTTTAAGTTTTCATTTTAATAATAGCTTTAATATTAAATTAATAATCGTCTTCAGACTCTTTTGAATGTAATTTGTACCTCTTCTGCAAGGAAATTATGTTTCTGGCTATGTTTAAATGTTGCCTTTTAGTTTCTCTCACTGTAACATATTCTGGTGGGGTTAGTTTACATCTTCTTACCTGGAAAGATGTATTCAGATAGGAGCAAGTGTTTCATTTTTACACGTGACAGTGCAACTTCTTTTCTGGTCCACCGGGTAGGTTTACTGGCTCCCACGTCCACTCACAGTATTCAGGAGACAGAATAGAGAACAGTGATTCCCAATGATTTCAGAGTCAGTACATTTTATAATCTTTTTTCTCCTCCCACCTTTTAGAAGCCGTTAACTTTTCAGTTTCTAAAAAGGCAGCTATTTTTTATGCTTCCTTATTATATCTTTGTTCCTTGGTTTAAAAAAAGAAATCAGCCAATGAGCAGATTTTGAATGCATTAAAGTTGCTTAAAACATTCTGGGTTTATTAGTCCTCAATAATTGTAAAAGTACAGTCATTCTTAAGAACATGATCACATGAAGACACTGTCCAATTTTCTAATTTCCACAGCAAAGTGCTAACTGTATCTAGTCTTTGTTAGAACATCCTTTTCACTGACTGTTTAGTTATTAGGAATGTATGCTGCATGGTTTTCTTACTTTAACACATCAGCTGGGATGTTGTCCTCAAGGATGACTACAAGAATGGTATGAAAGACATCCATCTTCCTTTCCACACAAAAGTGGCCCTGAGCATGTTATACCACCTCATGGCTATCAGTTTCTTCATCTCTAAAATGAAGAGTTATGGACCAGATGACCTCTAAGTTACTCCCAGCAGTATAGTCCCAAACCTTTCATTTTGTGTTACAGAAATAGTGTAGTGATAGTATATTTTAACAGTTAAAAAAAAATCAGTCATCCCAAGGAACTTCATTTTTAGAGACTACAAACAATACTTTTCTTTTTGGAAACGTTTACTTCAAAAAAAAAATACTACTCTCATAAGTAACACAGGCGTAAAAACTGAACAAGAAAAATGCTTTCAAAATGGTGGTTCCCATGTATTTGACAAAATAGACAAAGTCCTCTAAAAATAATAAAAATCTTTATTGAGATAATGTTGATGATGACAGTTATTAAAGAACTTTCCCAAGATCACCCCTGAAGTGGCAGAGGAGGGACATGGACCCAGATCTCTGATTCACGCCTGCTCAAATCTTCACTGTTACACTTCCCTAGCATTCGATCTGTGGGGCTGATTAAAAGCATGTCTCCTTCAGCACATGCAGACGGGATGAACAGCTCTGACAAATACACGGATGGGACTGAATACTGGGACAAGCACCTCGTCCTCCTGGAAGGACACTCCTCTATGCCCCTACACACCTTTTGCACATGTACATCACAATGCTTACCTGGCTAGGCTCTTTACTTTCTTATTTATAGGCTCCGCTAGGACCACAGCTGTACCTCATTTGTTTCTACATTTTCAGTGCAAAGAGTTAGGCATGGTGTATACTTGCTAAAATTTTGTTGAGTGGAAAAGAAATGAATAGATGAACAAACCTTAAAGGACAGGCAGTTGTGGTTATGGTTCACACTAGTTTTTGTTGAAAATTTGTTTACCGTGTTATATTGTAAGCAAGCATCAATTCTGTAAGCTGGAACTTACTGTCTTAAGAGTTATACTGGGAGTCATTCCCTGGAATCAGATAAGAGATGATCAAATTACAAACATAAGCAAGTTCCCACGGGGCAGCATAAGTGATCTCGTTTAATTCTCACAACAGTCCTGTGAAGTGGGGGACATCAGTTACACCTGACAGAAGGAGACCTTGTGTTCTCCACCAAGGGAGAAAACACTGCTCATCCTAAAATTTTATTTTACCTCTGGAAAGTTTTGTTCTACAATGTTTTTGCTCTTTAAGCAAGCATTTATTTAGGACAGGAAAACATACAAAGATAGCTAACCCTCAGTCCCTGGTTAATATCCATTCTGTAATCATCAAGAACAGGTAAGCCAAATTACCGAAAAGAAAATATTCGATTCCCAGTCGCCACTGCAATTCATTACTTTCTTCTTCCTCCTACTATTGTATCTGTTTCTATAGGTGTTGAGATTATTGTTACTTTTCCAAGAGATGTCAGTCATCCCCAGGAAATGAGCCAAGAAGACTTACAAGAAAACAAGTAAGGAATATTCTTTGAAAGGTTAGCTAGGAATTGAAGTATATACTTGTGGGGCACATTTTTAGTAATTCAACTGCCCAAAACACCCAAAAGCAGGAGTCATAATAAATATTATTGTGGCAAGAGCCAGATAATAAATATTTTAGGCTTTGTGGGCCATGTGGTCCTCTGTTGCAATGATTCAACTCTGCAGTTGCAGCTTGAATGCCACCGTAGATGGTATGTAAACAAGTGGGTGTGATCCAGTCAAAATACCAAGACAGAGTGGAGGCTGGATTTGGGCTGAGGGCCACAGTGTGCTGACCCTGCAGCAGTGCTACCCAAAATCAAAGTTCTGCTGTCCTTCTGTTACCCACCCGTTCAGGGTGAAGGCAGTACAGAACTTGGAGATTTAAACCTTTAAAAAGTGGTATAGCAATTGGACAAAGTAATTTTATGTTCATTGACCTGACAGTGAAAAAACTGGGGCTTATTTTCATGTTTTTGATTTTCTTTTCATTTTTATAGTAATTTATGATGCTACATCTTGTAAAAGTTTCAGTTCACAATGGAATGGAAACTCTGATTCTTCACCAAAGATAGCTTGAGAAGCACTGGGCTGGTGCTTACCTTTGGAGAAGTAAAAGGGTGCATCCCCTATGCCTGCCCTTTGCCCTTCTGATTTCTCTGCTCGAGGAAGCAGGGACTGGGAAAACTCAAGTTCCAGGGGCAGAGGGCAGATGAGATGGGGAGCAAGTCAGAGGGTGGAGGGGTCTGGTCCTTTCAGGAATATAGCCATTCTGCTCAGCAGCAGCACTATTTGGAAATAGTCCTTCAGACAGTCCTCCAGTGATGTCAGTCTGGCCTGTGAACTAGAGGTCCAGCAGACATGGGGAGTGACTTGTAAATCAGACCATCTCCTCCCACTTTTAGTCGGATAACCTCAATGCATCAGGAATGGGCACAAGCACATTCTGTTTCCCTTCCGAGTGAGACCGAGATGGTGAGCTCTAGGATGAAGACGGTGACCACACGGCCTGTACTTCTGCAGAAAGAGGAAACTTCCAAGGAGCTCTGCAATGTGAACTTGGGCATTTTGTTGCCCAGACTTTGCTTAGAACCAAACATCTCCAAGTCTGTAGCCAGAGAAGACATTCCTCACTTTCTGAAGAGGCAGCAAAGAAAATCTGAAGGTGAGTTCATTTAAGTATACAGTGATTTCTTCATTCTTCGGTGAATAAATATTCATCTTTTTTCTTGAGCATTTGAAAATCTTTACAGGGAACTCATATTTGGTTAATTATTATCTGTGGGGTTTTCGGGGGCTTACATTGAGGATGCTCTCTTCCAAGACTTGAGTTAGCCGTTCTATCTAGCCCAAGACTTATTAACAGGTAGCAGCACTGATACCAGCGTCTCCCCTTAGGGCACTGCTGACCGTGCTATCTGCTTACCACTGTCCTAAATCAATTGGCCAACATCACCAGGGACAAACCTGGGGTCCCCAAACTTGCGTTTACTGGCTTATTTCAATGAGGGACATTGCACAGCAGAGGAAATGTGAAGCATCTCACCAAACAAAGGAAAAATTAGGATTATTATTATAGGCTTTGGGGAGAAGGATAGAGCTTAAATGAAATTTAGGTGAAGCAGTGGGGTTTTTTTAATTAAAAGTTTTAGATTTATTGTGTAAAACGTATATAACATTATATTTACTACTTTCACCATTTTTAACTATCTTTTGCAATTATCAACATTATCTATCCCCATAACTTTTTCATTTTGCAAAACTGAAGCTCTGGACCCATTAAACTTTAACTCCCCATTCTTCCCTCCCTTGAAGCCCCTGTGTCACCTTAGATACCCAGTCCTCTGGGAAGTCTTCCTGAACCTCCCCAAGATGGGGTGAGTCACCTTTCCCTTGGACTCCCATAGGATCCTGACCTCATCCACAATGTAACACTTATCATGCTGAACTGTCATTATGTTTCTATGTGCTGGTCTTCACCAGATCACAAAGGCCAAAACCATGGCACCTCCAAGTACCTCCCACCCAGATGTGGCACACAACTATTTAAAAATGTATCTTGAATTAATAACAACAGCAGCAATAACCATATATTAAGTGCCTATTGCTTCAAGGGAAAAATCTTCACTGATATAGGTAATATTAGCTTACTTGTTTTAGAAATGAGGAAACTGAGGTCTTAGGGCAGCTAAGTGCATCCCCAGGGCACGTAGCTAGTGGGTTACAGAGGCTGGGTTCAAACCTGGACAACCTGTCTCTGAAGCCAACGTGCTTAAGCACCTGCCATGTGTGTCTTTAACCCACATCTCCCACTATGTGTCCCACGTTAGTTAGGAGGGAAAGAAAGGATAAACAAATGCAGTCTTGTAGTGGAGGTAAGTTTAGAGAAAAGGAGGGGCAGCTGGTACAGGTACAGACTGGAGGAAGGATGGATGGAGAGATTGAATTGGACATCATGGAAATATCCTCTTGTGGTCAAACCATGGAGAATCTGGAAGATGTAACTAAAGTAGCACATCCAGGCAAGAACAACCTGGGTTAGGTCAGTATTCTGTGATGAGAGCTACTCTACAGGTGTTTCAATCTTACCTGAAAAAGTCAATTGGGTTTACCAGGCAGGTATTTGTTCCCTTTTTAAAAAAAAATTGTTTAAATGCAATTTTAAAGTTGAGACAGTCAACATATATTAATTAAGAAAAATTCAGAAAAGACATATGAGGAAGAGAAAAAGTAAGAAATAAGAAGTACAAATACTATTTCAAGATGGTTTCTTTTAGAATGTAATTCAAGATGGTTTCTTTTAGAATGTAATTCCACATATTTAAATAACATATTTATAACTATATTCCTTGATTGTTTCACTTAGACATTATCTATTAGGATGTGACAGTTTTACATTCTCTCTGCACACACAATCTTTGAAATCTTTCTGTTTTAAAAGAACATTGATATTCACTGCCTCCCTTACTATGACTAGGTAAAATGTCATTCACAGCTGAGCCCCAGAGTGCGCTGGGATCACATTGCTTTTCTTTTGCAACATTATATTTATCCCGGCTTTAATACCTGCCTCATTTCACCATTTGCTTACTTTCTCTATATCTGTCACTAATTCATCCCCATCCTGTCTGATGAACCTGTGAGATGCACCTCAAGACAGGCAACTGCACACCAGGTAATCCATTGGTTTGTCTTGTTTTGGGGACCTTGCTCCTGGAACGCTCTGCCTTCCTGTTTCATTCTGTGTGACTTGGTCTTTGGACCTCCTGACCCGCTGCCTCTCTGGGAGTTCCTCACTGTTATCCTGGAAATGCCCTTGACTCCCCTGCTGTGTTGGACCCCTGTGTACTGGGTACCTGGTTTCCTCTCCCTTGGTTTATGCCCTCAGTTTAGGAGGGTACGTTATCCAGTAGCTTCCTGAAAAAGGTTCATGGAGTATATTAATGGTAGTTTTTCAGTGTCTCTATTTCCTCTGATCTCTTTTCTTTGTGTTTATTTTGTTCTCGGTATTTTCACATTGAGGCAATTCCTGTATATCAGTTGATCCTCGGTGATCCATTTGCATTTAAGAAAGGCAGACTAAAAAGCATGAAGGGAGCTTGGGGAATGGGCAGAGACCTGGACAGTTGGGTGAAGGATTCATTTTCCAAGTGTCAGTGTGCATAGATTTCTCTCAACTAGTTTTCCTGAGAGGAGGAGAATCCAAGCTCTTGCCTGTAGGTTATAAGCCTGGAGTGTCACATGTCAGTGTGATGGCTTTCATTTATCCTCATATTTCCACTCCAGCATCCTGTGTCTGCTCTCAGCCACACCTAGCTCCTCAGCGTCTTTGTTTCAAGCTCTCCAGAGAATAAACTTCCAGCCAGAAATGGAGAAGAGCAACTCCTGACTAGTAGGGTAGGACAGGGCATCTGGAACCTACTCCTTATACAGACTCTGAAGCAACCCCTGGTTTCAGCCTCACCTGCATCCCCACCTTCAGAGGTACCTGGTGTCTTCAATTCCTGCTCCTTTCTGGGGTTCTGATTTCTTGCTGAGTTCTCCCTCCTGCAGACAGTGAGCAGAACACAGAAAGCTGACAACTGAATCAGGTGTTACTCATCCCTACGGTTTTCACCTTCAAAATTCTGTTGGCTTTGCTCATGTGCCATTTTATCTCCTGGGTTCTTGTTGTTCTTCTTTACCTTCCTAAATATTCCTTTACCATCACTTTAGTGAGGTCTGTGGAAAGAGTGGAGAAAAGCGTGTACATTCAATCTTTTAACTAGAATTCTATATACATTTTAAAAGGCTTTCAATATATACCGGCAAATTACCTGCTGGAAAGATCTTACTTATACATTCTCACCAGAAATATTTAAGAGTGCCTTCCTATCTCATGTCATTCCTTACCAACACTAAATAATATCCATCTAAGTATTTATAATACTATCTGGAAGTTTTTTTTCACTCAGGGAGTTATACGTATGCACCCAACTATAAATTGTATTCAGTTGTATTTCCGGTATTAACTTGTAATATCTTTTCAGCAGGAAGTCTCTACTTCTAGAGTACAACCTCTGTGAGGGCAAGAATTTTGCCTTTGTTGTTCACAATTATATTGCCATCTTCTGGGACAGTGTTGGCTACTCAGGAGGCACTCAGTAAATATTGGTTAAATAAACTGAGCAGGTGCCTTTTAAAATGTATATAGAATTCTAGTTAAAAGATTGAATGTACACGCTTTTCTCCACTCTTTCCACAGACCTCACTAAAGTGATGGTAAAGGAATATTTAGGAAGGTAAAGAAGAACAACAAGAACCCAGGAGATAAAATGGCACATGAGCAAAACCAACAGAATTTTGAAGGTGAAAACCGTAGGGATGAGTAACACCTGATTTTGGGGCAGGTGCTTTGGCCAGCTGTGGCTGAGGGAAATGCTGTGCCTTTCCTATTGGGATCCTCTTCTGAGGTGAACATTTTTCACCTGTGGTACAGGCTTCTCTACCTGTGGTACATCTTAGAGAGATCTCTCTACGTGAAATTTCAAAATGGCAGCCTGTAGCTAAAAAAAGACCTACAGACATATTTTGGTCAACCTCCAAAGTATTAAAAAACAGAGATGGGCAGGGGGAGCTTTAACATAAAGTCTCCAGCTCTCTGACTTCCCTTGGCAACTGGAAGGTCCAGCAGTGCTGGATTACCCATCTGGAATGGACAACATCAAGTAGAACTGGGTAATGGACATCTCTCTAGATGGGGTACATGACTTCAGCTCACCACTTTCCCTACCTTCCCCACATCATCCATTCATGTCACCTGCTTTGATCCTGGACATGTTGGAGCTTTTAGCTTCAGCTTTAAGCCGAGGTGGTGAGTGGGGCTTTAGGGACCATTCTGATGTTTTAGTAAGAAGAGAACACCTTCTATCTAGGAAATCCCATCTAGTCCTTCCCCCTGCTCCTCCAGAATTTATGAGCTCTCTCATGTTTGAGTCCAAACAACAGTTGGGAGACATAAATATTTTCGCATTTCTGCAAGTCTGGGCTTTCTGAGCAAAAAGCACTAGGAGACTTAGGTTAAAAGATGATTGAATGGCAGAGATGCCTTGGAAGTTAGTAGATTGTTCCACAAAGACTGAGGTTTATTTTGGCAGGAGCTATTGGGTTACTTTTTAAGGTAAAAACAAAACAAAACAAAACAAAAACAAACAAACAATACCCAGAAACACATTTCCCCTTTCTCCTGGAGATATTTGCTTACATTTCATAGCAAAGGTCTCTCTTGGAAGGGAAAGATGGGTTAAACTGCCAACACTCTATATAAGCTCTGAGATGCATAATTTCACGATGTCCTCCTGTGGTGCAACCTCACTGCCTGTGCAGGGGAACATCTGGTTCTCCTTGCGTCAACCTGTGGGCAGTTGGGGTGCAGGGAACTGGTGCTAGGATGCCCAGTGAGTGATAAATGCTCTGTTTTCTGTTTCAGTGGTCTTGTGTTTCCAGAAGGAATATAAATATAAGTAAATATGTACATATATGCAAATTTTATATTTATGAAACACATGCATATGTAAAATACAACATTCTATATAGAACAACAACCCCCTTCAGTGGCAGTAGTCACTTTTTCTGTTTGGTTCTTCCATATCCACCTCCATGTGGATTACACCTGGAAAAACTCTTCATTTTGACCACTTTTCCTCAAGTCTCAGCACCCAGATCACTCCATCCCCAGGCTCTGGCTTATTAAGGCAGACTGTGGTCACTCTACTACTAACAATAGCTAATTATTACTATTTTTCTGTTACAGAGTTTTCTACCTCTGATATGAAGTATAGTAGGCGAAGAATTGAGGTAAGGTTAGTTTGAGCATTTTGACTTAAGAATTAAAACCAAAGAATCTTTTTGGAGACAAATTCTATCAAAGAACTCAGAGCCAAAAGCCTCGGCAATGATATCTCAGAAAAACAACAACTCACATATAGTTTATAGAGCAGCAAATAATTTCTAGGAAAGTTGTAACTTGACATGTATATTTCTTTTCTGGAATATTTCCTGTTCTCCATATAATGAAGTGAGTAGCTCTCACACATATTTAATTTGTCTTCTTTTAACATACTGAGCAGTTAGGTAATTCTTTTTCCACTGGTAGAAAGATTTTCCTAGTTGTCTAATTTGTAAGTAGAGCGTTTGGAAAGATCCTTGCCATTCTCTCAACTGTCTGACTCTTCTGTATCCTATAAGCCTTTGAGAAAATGTATAGGTATTGCTTAGTGTTGGAAAAGGAGTTTATTGGCCTAAAAAAACAAACAAACTTCTACTACGGAGGTGTTTAAGCACTGGGAGAATCTGTATTTTTTCAGAGAGAGAAGAAAGGCATGTAGGCAAAAGAACTAGCAGGTAGCATGTGTCCCACCTATTTCTAATGCCTGTTTCTAGTGTCAGCTTCCTTTTCTTTTCCTTTCTTCCTACACATAGGTGGCAATAGAATGAAAATTAGACATATAGCTCTCAATGACCACTCGTGATCTATGCCTATAAATATTCTGACATAATTAGGTATCAAATCTGTATACACAGGGAAAGATCACATGCAAAGTGTAAAGTTAAAGAGTTTATAGCTTAACTGACCAAAAAGCTGAATATTATATACTGAGTTACACTGACCTCTAGAGGTTGATAATAATAAAAACTAGCTTACTTTGAAAATAGCTGGAAGGTCAAGGAGAATTAAAAACCATGTAGGGTGTTAACTTTCTAGAGTATGGTGTGGCACATTTCTAAGCCACCCTCATGAAAACAATTCAGCCAAACCAGAAGGAGTAGTTGTGCTCCAGATACAAATTCTGAGTTAGTCTGTAACCTACTGATCACCATTAGAGTAAATGTAATAGCAATTATAAGCTGTTCTAAGCGGGGATTTAAAAAATCATAGATCAATTTCATGCAAAGTAAACAGAAAAGAGAATAGAAATAAAATGTCTCATCTTAAATTTTTAATGTTAACATTAGAGGGCCTTTATTTTAAATATATATCCATGAATTTTTGTTAATATTGGTTTTTAAAACTATTGTCTTACTTTGGTCCTAGGAAAACACTAGGAATGAGATTTTAGGTTTTTAAATTGTGATCTCCAGGACAACTTTGTACTTTAAATGCCTTCCTAAAGAGATCTTAAAATCTCTTCAGATTGCTTTAAACCATTTAACATGATATGCATATGTCTTTTTGCATTCATTCACTTTTTCTTTCTTTCCTTTTAGTTCCCTCTGCCACCACTGTCACTTTTGCCCATGAGATCTGGTCTCTTTACACTCCCCCCAAATCACAAGGATCAAAAAGAGACAGAAGTAAATATTCCAAGCCTCATATCCTTCATACCTAAGCTCTCAGAGCCTGTTAGTCGATCTGATGAATTTAGACCATCAAACAAGCAGAGGGAAGCACCATTCAAGATGCTAGTGGATCAGACTCTCAGGTCCTTTGATAGCTCTTTTTGGTCTAGAAACATGTGCTCTTTTTGGAAGGCTCACCATCAGAGACAACACCCAGAGATGGAGAAGAATAGGAAGTCCAAGGAGACAGAAGGATGTGTCAACATTGAAATATCTCACTTTGAAACAGGACAGTCTTTGGTGTCCTTTGAGAATTTCAAGGAAGGCAATTTTCCTACAGATACGGAAGTAGATACTGACTGCCGTGGTGATGAACTGAGAAAAGCAGAAGAGAACTCTCGGTATCTTTCATCAGGAAAGAAAGAGGGTTCAGTAGCCAGAAACTATGAAGAAGATTTAGAAGTTGGATATACCAAACTGATCAAGTTCCAAGAAGCCCTGCATTCAGAAATAACTCTAAGCCAGGATGTAGAGACTAGAAATGATAAAGCTGACACAAAAAGTGCTTCAGCACCTGAAGGCAAAGCAATTGAGCCAGACCATGTATCAGAAGAGAATAGTGTTCTTAAAGGTTTGTCCACTGTAGTCCCTGATGGCCCTATGGAAAAGTTCCCAGAAGATCAGAGCAGCATGGATACAAACATAAAAATATCAACAGCAGAGCCAATCAAAACAGAAATGAATGGGATGGTGCCTCTTATTCACATCACTTTCCCTGGAGATGGAACTCCCACGGAGCCAGCAATAACCAAACCAAGCCTCCAAAAAAGAAAGGGAATCCTTCATAACAACAGAAGCTTCAACATACTCCCACACCAAGAAAATGACAGGCGTAAGGTGAAAACCCATAGAAGTAAGTTGGATTCAAAGACCAAGACCAGTAACAGGACACCTCAGAATTTCATGATTTCCATCGAAGGGTCCATGAAGCCTTCCATGCAAAAAACCAGCATAAAAACTCAAGTTTTTCCTGCATTGGGGCTGGTGGACCCCAGACCTAAGTTTCAAAGGAGAATGACGCAGATAGAAAAGAAGCAGTCCACTTACTGGGCTCTGAAACCTAAAAAGCAATCATTCCCTTGCATCTGTAAAAATCCAGGAATAAAAAAGACTTCTGTTCCTCTCTCTGCTCAACCAACAGAGCCAAGGCTAAATTACTTAGATCTGAAGTACAGTGACATGTTCAAAGAAATCAGTTCAACTGAAAATGGGCCTGGAATCTATGAAATGTTTGGGACTCCTGTTTATCGTCACATACGAGAAGCTGAACAGCATGAAAACAAATATTACCGGGAGATACACTCAGCTCCATCGGGCAGATGTATCACTAATAAATGTCGGTCTGCACAGAGTGAGAGGAGCAGCAGTAGCCGAATAAGACTTTCTCAGAAAAGACCACATATTAAACCCCCAAAGTCTTCGCTTGGCATCAAACAAAAGCACAGAAGTTTAATTTCTAAAGAAAAGGGTTGCAAGGCTGTAGGTAGCCACCTACAAGACACCGAAAATGGTGATGGTATTTCAGAACCAGAATGGCAGATAAAGCCTTCAGGAAATGACTTTCTATCCTCCAAAGATGAAGTTCAGCCCATGAACCTGGTTCAGACCCATGAGCAGACCACTGAACAGAACGAATTCCTTCCTGTCTCAGACCTGTCCATTATTGAAGAAGTCTCTGTGGAAGAGTCTGCCGATGAAGGAGACATTTCCAACAATCACGTTCTTGCCACAAGAGTCAGAGATCTGCGTGAACTTGAAGAGCTCCATCACCAGACCCCGCTTGTCCTTTCAGAAAACAGCTGGGTGGTGCCCAGTGAGAAGAGATCCAACCATATGCTGCAAGAAAAGCACAACCCAGCATCTCTTGGTAAAATAAATGCCAACCAAATTTTAACTAACGACGTAGAGTTTGAAAGTGTTTCAGATAAGTCTAAAATACTTGTGAGTTTCTCTTGCCAAGAGAAACAAGAAAGTGCATCTTCCCAAGTGTATCAACATTGGGCACATTCTTTGGATCATGGTCATTTAGCTAATAAGTCAATTATATATCAGACATTTGGAAAAACATTAAATGATGCAGATTCAGTTTCCCAAGAGATTCTAGACTCTGTAAAGAATGAAGAATTGACAGATGAACTATTAGGTTGTTTAGCTGCAGAACTTCTGGCTCTTGATGAGAAAGACAACAACTCTTGCCAAATAATGGCAGATGAAACAGATCCCGAAAACCTAAATCTTGTCCTCAGTAAGAGAGGAAATACTATGCAAGAATTAGGCGGAGAGACAACAAACATCAAAATACAGGTTGGTATAATTAGAATCAGAGATTCATTGGAGTGGGAAGTGCCACCTTACTTCTAGAATTTAGCTAGCCTGACGCCACAATGGAATCACTTTAAGTACATTAATATAGCAAAACTACTTGTTTAAACAGGTAGATATTGTTTTCAATGATGATGTTGTCAATCAACAAATAACAGCAGGGAGATAATTATGGGTAAAACATGGCTCTAGTTGGTGTGTGAGATAGAAGGTAGCACAGCCCCCTGAAGCAGCTCACAATCTAGTTACAAAAAACAAAAAAACAAAAAACTGAAGACATGAAATGATAATTTCTCAAAGATTCGCTGCCCTTGAGCATTTGTTCCCAAATTGTTCACTACGTTAACACAAAAACGTCATTGATGCCTACTGTGTTTCTGGTATTGGGAGAGGAACTAGAGACATGGTGGGGTACAAGACTTAGCCATTGCTCTCAAGGAAGCAGAAGCAACAATCCTGAATAAATTTTTTTTAGAAGTTTGTTTGGCACTGGAGTGGGGGTGGGGGAGAAGAATATCAACAGGTATTTGGCTTTTGTTTGTTGAGTTCTCACTGTAGTATATTAGCCTCCTGTTCTACTCAGATTCTAAAGACGGAAACGGCAGGTTTAGCTGAAACATTATTGAACATTAACTCAGGTAATATCATACTGTATCAGGATCAGAAATAATTCTTTTAAATAGCTGATCAGAAGAATACACAAGGTAAACAATTATACCATAGCTAGGTTTATTGAGAACTTAACACATGAGTGAGACGCATCATATTGTCTCCTTTATATGATTCATAACAGCTCTATGAGATAAGTACTACAGGTAATAACAAGTCCCCATTTTGCAGATGAGGACACTGAGGTATAGAAAGTGACACAGTTAGTGAGCAGTGGGGACAGGCATTCTGATTGCAGCCCCACACTCTTAATCACTGCACAGTGGGAATATTCCTTGTCCTAAAAGGCCAGCCCTACCCTCACGGTGAGCTTGGTCTCTGCTGGGAGGTGGGTGGTGATTCAGAGAGGCTTCCTGGCTTGGGTGGGAGATGGGGGTATATGTGTGCTTGCCGATGTATCTGGGATGGGTCTACCACTCTGCCATTTCAAATTCAAGAAAAGCTACCAAGCTAGTAAATATAATCAGCTCATAATCCTACCCTGCAATTGTAGATTCAAAAACTGACCTTTGTGATTTTTTCATTTCCAAGAGTCCTTAAATTTCAGTTTCAATGGAAACATGAGAGGCTGGGGAGGAGGAGCCCAAAGGGCCCTTTGGAGGCACATGTGCTCATTCATGAGGCAGGTGATCCTGTATGATGTCTTATTCGTAAAGGACCTTCACCATGCCGCTACATCACCATCGTCGTATTTTCCTGGTGTGGGGGGAGGGTTCCTTGGTTTATTTATTTTTTAAAATTAAAAAATTATTTATTAATTTTTTAATGGAGGTACTGGGGATTGAACTCAGGACCTTGTGCATTCTTAGCATGTGCTCTACCACTGAGCTATACCTCCCGCATCATCATTTATTTTTAAGAACTCATAGAGGAAATAGTTAATCTTTTTTTAAAACATTTTTTTACTGATTTATAATCATTTGACAATGTTGTGTCAAATTCCAGTGTAGAGCACAGTTTTTCAGTTATACATGAACATATATATATTCATTGTCACATTTTTCCTCTGTGAGCTACCATAAGATCTTGTTTATATTTCTCTGTGCTGTACCGTATAATCTTGTTTATCTATTCTACATTTTGAAATCCCAGTCTATCCCTTCCCACCCTCCGCCCCCTTGGCAACCACAAGTTTGTATTCTATGTCAGTCTGTTTCTGTTTTGTATTTATACTTTTTTTTTTTAGATTCCACATATGAGCGATCTCATATGGTATTTTTCTTTCTTTTTCTGGGTTACTTCACTTAGAATGACATTCTCCAGGAGCATCCATGTTGCTGCAAATGGCGTTATGTTGCTGGGTTTTATGGCTGAATAGTATTCCATTGTATAAATATACCACATCTTCTTTATCCAGTCATCCGTTGATGGACATTTAGGCTTGTTTCCATGTTTTGGCTATTGTAAATAGTACTGCTATGAACATTGGGGTGCAGGTGTCATTTTGAAGTAGGGTTCCTTCTAGATATATGCTCAGGAGTGGGATTCCTGGGTCATATGGTAAGTCTATTCCTAGTCTTTTGAGGAATCTCCATACTGTTTTCCACAGTGGCTGCACCAAACTACATTCCCACCAGCAGTGTAGGAGGGTTCCCTTTTCTCCACAGCCTCTCCAGCATTTGTTATTTGTGGGTTTTTGAATGATGGCCATTCTGACTGGTGTGAGGTGATACCTCATTATAGTTTTGATTTGCATTTCTCTGGTAATTAGTGATATTGAGCATTTTTTCATGTGCCTATTGATCATCTGTATTTCTTCCTTGGAGAATTGCTTGTTTAGGTCTTCTGCCCATTTTTGGATTAGGTTGTTTGTTTTTTTCTTATTGAGTCGTATGAGCTGCTTATATATTCTGGAGATCAAGCCTTTGTCGGTTTCATTTGCAAAAATTTTCTCCCATTCCGTAGGTTGTCTTTTTGTTTTACTTATGGTTTCCTTTGCTGTGCAGAAGATTGTAAGTTTCATTAGGTCCCATTTGTTTATTCTTGCTTTTATTTCTATTGCTTGGGTAGACTGTCCTAGGAGAACATTTTTGAGATTTATGTCAGATAATGTTTTGCCTATATTTTCCTCTAGGAGGTTTATTGTATCTTGTCTTATGTTTAAGTCTTTGATCCATTTTGAGTTGATTTTTGTGTATGGTGTAAGGAACTGTTCTAGCTTCATTGTTTTACATGCTACTGTCCAGTTTTCCCAACACCATTTGCTGAAGAGACTGTCTTTATTCCATTGTATATTCTTGCCTCCTTTGTCAAAGATGAATTGACCAAAAGTTTGTGGGTTCATTTCTGGGCTCTCTATTCTGTTCCATTGATCTATATGTCTGTTTTTGTACCAATACCATGCTGTCTTGATTACTGTAGCTCTATAGTATTGTCTGAAGTCTGAGAGAGGGAAATAGTTAATCTTAAAACAAACAAAAAAGAACTCATAGAGATCAAAACATAGTATTTTTGGTCCTGATCAACCAGATGGAAAACATGGTCTAAGCTCCACAAAGAGATACTCGTTTTCCAGCTTTCAGGGCAGGACCTCTCAAAGTTTACTGTGGAAGCACATCTCCTGGGGATCATGTTGAAATGTAGACACCGATTCGGTATGTCTGGGGCCTGAGATTCTGCAGGTCCAACAAGCTCCCATGTGATGCTGATACAGCTGGTCTGCATCTTCTCCTTAGAGAAGCAAGGGCCTAGTGGACCAGGGATCTTCAATCTATCACGGCTGGTCCTGACCACCAGACTTGCTTGTTATGGCTGTGCACACATGCATGCGGGGGTGTGTGTGCGCATGTGTGCAGGTGTGTGTAAGAGAGAGCACCTGTGTGTATGTATATTTGTGTGTACATGTGTTTACATGTATGGAAGTGTACGCATATATGCTTACATATATACTTGTGTGTGTGATTGTACGTGTGTGTTGTGGAAATAAATGAAGAACAGACAAAGGCTATTTATCCAGAGCTCACTCTAGCAAAGGAGTCAGCTGCCATCACTTGCCTTTGGCAGAGACTCTAAAGCAGGCAGAGGAACAGAGAAGCTTTTTAGTGGAAAAAGTATTCAGTTATAACTTCACTGGAGGCTGCTGTCCTGGGGAAGCTGTAGGTGGATTAACGATCAGGGGTCTCCTCTGTAATTGGTTAGGGGGTGCATATTTGGCCTACTCTGCTTGATTCTAAGTTAGAAGAAAGGAAAACTCTACTCTCCACCCTTTCTCTCCATTCCACGGACTCAGAATTTAATGATGACTCTTCTTTTTGTCTTATTCTTCCAGAGATATAGTAATGGGTTTGGGATATATGACCAGGAGGAGAAATTTTTCATCTCACATGAAAAGAAGACAATTTCTGAAAATAGTTTAAAGTATGAAGAACCTATCCTGTGGACCAAGGGTGAGATCCTTGGGAAGGGAGCCTACGGCACAGTAAGTTAAATGGGAAACACGATGAAATAGAAAAAAATCTCCACTCCTCCTTGACCCCTCCCTCCTTGCTAATCTTCCTGCATGCCCTTCCCACCCCCATGTACTCTATTACTTAGAACTCTTTCAGCTGGAGTAACAGGAAACCCAACCCAAACTGGCTTGAGGAAAAGGATGCTCACTGCTTTATGTAACTGAAGGGCCTGGAGTAGGTCTGGCTCTGGGCACAGCTGCTTTCAGGGGTCAAACAGTGTCATCAGGATCTGGTCTCTCTACCTCTCCTTCTGGCTCTCGTTCCCAGGCTCCATGTGCTGGTACCGTGGCCATTGTATTTCTAGCCTCTCATTCTTCGAGGTCCAAGTCCTGTGGGAAAGAAGTCTCTTTGTTCAGCAGTTCAAGATACGTTGCTAGAAGTTGGGAGGATCGTTGCTGAGTGGCAAAACAAAAGATATTCCTCACATTTGGTGAATTGCATAAAAGATCATTTAAAGTCCTAGCACTTTAGATAGTACTTACACAGATTGGTTAAGAAAAAACTGACCCCTCGAATACGATGTGTTACACTTCTAGTGGGGACATTTCAGGAATCAGAGAGAAGGTGGGAAGTCATGAACTCGCATGACAGGGGTGACTGCTGAATTGCCACAGGACCTGCCTTCCTCTCTCTTCCTAGAGCTTTAGCACTGAAATAGCCATATTTTATTTATTTGGTGAGGGGCTTTTCAAGACCACCAACACTCATGTACTCATCATAGATACCTGTGAGGTAAGTACTGTTTCCTCAGTTTTATTGATGAGAAAAAATGAAGTCAAAAAGTTTATACACCTTACCTAAAGTTATACAGCTGGGGAATGGTGAAACCAGGATGCTAACCAGCCCTGGACACCTGATCCCAAGCCCTTATGAAATATGTTCACTATGCTGCTTATCTGCACTCTGGGTCCACTGAAACACCCAGGTTGCTTAAGGACTTTGCATTTAAGTAGGGATGTATCAACTAAGAGAAAGACAACGGTCTGGGAGGAGAAGGGAAAGACAAGTGCCACACGAGGTGTTTTGTGAACAAGTTTCATCATTTATATTTAATAATAAGGTATTGATTTGCTTCTAGGTATATTGTGGTCTTACTAGCCAAGGACAGCTAATAGCTGTAAAACAAGTGGCTTTGGATACCTCTGATAAATTGGCTACTGAAAAAGAATACCGGAAACTTCAGGAAGAAGTCGATTTGCTCAAAGCACTGAAACATGTCAACATCGTGGCCTATTTGGGAACATGCTTGGAGGAGAACATTGTAAGCATTTTCATGGAGTTTGTTCCTGGTGGCTCAATCTCTAGTATTATAAACCGTTTTGGGCCATTGCCTGAGATGGTGTTCTGTAAATACACGAAACAAATCCTGCAAGGTGTTGCTTATCTCCACGAGAACTGTGTGGTACATCGAGATATCAAAGGAAATAATGTTATGCTTATGCCAACTGGAATAATAAAGCTGATTGACTTTGGCTGTGCCAAGCGTTTGGCCTGGGCTGGCTTAAATGGCACCCATAGTGACATGCTTAAGTCCATGCACGGGACTCCATACTGGATGGCCCCGGAAGTCATCAATGAGTCTGGCTATGGACGGAAGTCAGACATCTGGAGCACTGGCTGCACTGTGTTTGAGATGGCCACAGGGAAGCCCCCACTGGCTTCCATGGATAGGATGGCAGCCATGTTTTACATTGGTGCACACCAAGGGCTGATGCCTCCCTTACCAGAACACTTCTCAGAAAATGCAGCAGATTTTGTGCGTGTATGCTTAACCAGGTAAGAAACCGAAAGCAGGAGGAATAGGATAAATTCCCAGAGATTCCAAGCAGCTGGCATTTCCCTTGCAATTTATGGCCCATTATAAGCTCTGCTCAGGTTATGAAATCAAGTAAGGAGTGATTTTGTGCTGAAAAGAACAATTAACCATATTGGATTGTGTTCCTTGTTGCATCAGGGTATGGGGGTCATGCTTCAAGCTGGAAATGCCTCAATTAAACATCTTATCAGGTTCAGACAATACTTCCTCAAATCCATGGGTGTGCAAAAAGCTGCTAAAGATCTATTTATTTACCAATGGGACTTCCAATCTTCCCACAGACTAGCCATGGTGAAATGACATCACCTGTGCTTAGGTCCCCTTCCCTAAGCTGCCTTCCCTCTCAGGGAACCAGTGTTCTCATTTCTTCCTAAAACCAGCTCTCAGGAACATATGTGAGAAGTTCATTCGTATCAAGGGAATGATGTGATCTGATTGATAGACGACTGACAGATTGAATGTGTTGTTCCCTTAGAACTACCTGTATTTAAAGTGAGAGGAAACATTTTGAGCCAAAGGAATAAATCTCTAATTGGAGCATTTCAAGCATCAAGTGGGTAGTGTTTGGGGAAGCAGAAAAGTGCTAGAAGGTTGCCTGTTTCTTTCTTCCTGTCCTCATGCTTTCTTGTATGTATGGGATGAAATTCTGGCTAAAATGTTAGAACAATGAGGGACCTTAGAGGTTACCCTCCTGTGTGGTTTTCAAACTTTTCTTAGTCAGGCACTCTCTGCTTATAAGAAATCTTAATTCAAAGAATAGAACATAGAAGTGGAGAGATGGCCCTGGTTAAGGTGTGCGTGTATGTGTATGTGTGCAGTGGAGGAGAGCTAAAGGGTAGGATAGGTGCGCTGGAGCTCACCCTCCTGGCCTACAGGATGATGCAGAACAGCCTAAAATCTACCCATCTAGTGACACTCAGCATTTAGTTGCATGTGCAGGATGAGGAAGGCCTGAAACCCAAACAATTTCTTGCCTTTCAAGAAAATATGCTTTTTTATTCCTAGATGAAAAATTATGGTGTGTCAGGTTTCAGCAAATACATATGGCTACCTCCAGCTCCCTGAATGGGTTCATTCTGTCTTTCTCAATGAATGTGACTCCATAGGTCTCCCTGTCTGCCGGAGCGTGTCTCTTTTAGACTCTCTGTCTCCCTCTCCTAGCATATGTTATCAGCCTGTGCTGGTTGATTTCAGATCACGTAAGCCAGGGCAGCAACACATACTCCAGGGGTGCAGTTCTGGGCATCCCTAGATGCAGAGACACTGTGGGTATTCCAACATGAATTCTGCTGACAGAGCTCCAGGCACAGGGCTTCCCCTTCCTCCCCCATAAAAAACCTCACCAAAGGGACATAAAGGTGTTAGGAATATCATATTGATCAGCACTAGTTTTGGAGACTGGTCTTAGCTCTTAAAACTACTGTGGTTGCTTTGTTCTGAAATGAACAATGATCTATTATTGAGCCACAGAAACTACTTGCTGTTTTCATTTTCTTTCAAGTTGTCATTACTCTCTCTCTCACACACACACATCTTTAAAGAGAAAGGGAGGAATTTTTTTATGGCTTTCCTTTTAAAACACTGCCTCATAAACTAAGCAATACACAACTCACACCACTAATAATCAACTAATAGGACTGTTGTGAAGGTT